CCAGTAGCATCGCATAGCATAACCCTACCCGGCGATCCTCCCCTCGTCGCCCTGTGGAAAAGCGATCACCGGGTTGTCTGTGGAACTTGGAAGGGTGTGTTTTGTTAAGTATCCGGTTCTAGTTGTCATAAGGTCAAGGTACAACTCCAAGTCGTCCTGTTACCGAAGATCACGGCTATTCGAATAGATTAACTTCCCTGCAGGGGTGCACTAACTTACCCAGCACGCTTGATCCCATTTGGCCGGACACACTTTCCTGGGTCATGCCCGGCCGCGGAAGATCAACACGTCGCAGCCCCACCTAGGCTCAACGGAGAGGCCAGCACGCCGGTCTAAACCTAAGCGCGCAGGGGTCTGGGCCCATCGCCCCGAGCACACCTGCACGTTGCGTACGCGGCCGGAAGCAAACCTAGCCTAGTGGCGTTCCAGTCCAATCCGGCGCGCGTCACTCAGTCGCTGACGTCACGAAGTGCTTCGGCTGATACCACGACGCCGGGATACCCATAACTACTCCCGCGTAGATGGTTAGTGCGTATAGGCTCGTAACCAACTCAGATCAAATACCAAGATCTCGTTAAGCGTGTTAAGTATCCGCGAACGCCGAACAGGGCCAGGCCCGCCTCTCTCCTAGGCGGTCTCAACCTGCCCTGACGCTCCGCCACAAAGAACCACTCGCGGGTGCTCCACCAGCCGACCCGACTTTAGTCTCCACATGTATCATGTATAAGTATATAGTATATACCCGAGATCACCTCCCGAGTGATCTCGGCCCAATAGTATAGCACAGCAAACGGACAAGAATGTAGGGCCACAGATGAAAAATACTAGCATCCTATACTAAGCATATAGGATAGAAGGTAAAGGTATCAACAGTAGTAACAAGGACAGGCTATGCATCAGGATAGGTATAACAGAAAGCAGTAACATGCTACACTACTCTAATGCAAGCAGTATAGAGGAGAATAGGCGATATCTGGTGATCAAGGGGGGGCTTGCCTGGTTGCTCTGGCAAGAAGGAGGGGTCGTCAACTCCGTAGTCGAACTGGGCAGCAGCAGCGTCGGTCTCGTAGTCTACCGGAGAGAAAAGGGGGGAAGAAACAATAAATACCATGTAAACAGATGCATATCGATGCATGACAAGACAAGTAACGATGCTAGGCGTGCCCTAGCGTGGTATGAGGTGGTACCAGTTAAGGGGGGAAACATCCGGGAAAATATCCCCGGTGTTTCGTGTTTTCGGGCAGAGGAGCCGGAGGGGAAAAGTTGCGAGTTCGATAGGTTAGGGGTGTGTGGCGGACGAACAGACTGCGTATCCGGATTCGTCCCGTCGTTCTGAGCAACTTTCATGTTGAAAATATTTTAATCCGAGTTACGGATTAAAAGATATGATTTTCTAAAGATTTTATTAATTTTTGGAATTTAATTAATTATTTAATTAATTCGAAAAATGGATTTATGACGTCAGCATGATGTCATGCTGACGTCAGCGGTCAACAGAGTTGACTTGGTCAACCTGACATGTGGGTCCAGTGGGACCCACCTGTCATTCTCTGTTTAGGTTAATTACAGATTAGTTAATTTAATTAGTGATTAGTTAACTTAATTAATTACTTAATTAATTAATTAATTAATAATTAATTTATTAAATCATTTTTATTTTTATTAATTTTATTTTATTTTTTAATTCCTTTTTTTAAGAGGGGGTGAGGCCCGTTTGTCTGTGGCACAGAGGCCTAGCAGGCGGGGCGCTAGCGGGTGGAGTCGGCGCGGGCGTCGGGCGCCAGCCCGAATGGGCGCACGGGCGTTATCGGGTGCGGGCGCCGCGCACCCGCACGGAGGCGACGGAGGGCGCCAGCGGGGTCGTGCCCACGATGCGTCCAGGGGAGGGCGTGTGGGCGTGCGGGGAGGGGAACCACGGCAGCGGCTCGCCGGAGTTGCGTTCCGGTGACCACTTGGTCACCCACGAGCATCAGAAGGACGAGCGCGTTGGCGCCCATCGAGTTGGGCTAGTGGTTGGTGCTGGAGGTGGCCGAAAACAAGGCCGGTGACGAGGTTCGGCGGCGGCGGGCGTGCAGCAGCAAGGGGGAGCGGGGACCGTCCATGGCCGGGCTTGGTCAGAGGGGCGTGGGTGCGAGCGCGCGCTGTCGGCCACGGTCGGGCGCGGCCAAGCGCGGTCCAGGGCGTGCGGGAGCTCGACGGTGGTCCCGTGCGGAGGCAGGTGGCCGCGGGCGGCTCCGGGGTGGGGTCGGGCGCATCCACGATGCGGCGAGCGCAACGGTCGATGGCAGCGGGCGGGAGTCGCGGTGCGCGGCAGCGTGCGCGTGCGGAACGGCGCGGCGAGCGCAGGGCGAGGACGCGAGGCGTGCGCGCGTGCGCGTCGAAGACAGGGGAGGAGAGGGGGAAGCTCACGGGGCGAAGTAGGGACGGGGCAACGTGCTCGGTGGAGG